TTGCAGTTTTTTGTTTGTTTTTGTTTTTTTTTTTTTTAAATGTTATATTTGAACGTAGAATCCTGGGCATTTTTTCTGTTTGAAGGAGAAGCTCATCCGTCTGCTTCTCTGTCAACCATGGCAGCCAAGCTGCTTCCCTGCTTTTGTTTTATTTTATTTTTTTTGAAGAAAAAAAAAATAGTGTAGGGGTTCAATTGGAATGTGAATGATTATTATTTTTTTATTATTTTTTTTGCGTATTTCTGTTTGCTTGTTTCTATTAGTTTAGTATAATTATTTTATTTTTTAAAATAAGTTTTAAAATATTAGTTTAGGTGATGTGGCATCTTACATGGCATCCAGCATGGAAGATAACTTGCTATTATAGGTTAAATGTGTTAATTGCATTGTTTTAACAAGTTCAAGGGTTTAATTGGATGTTTATTTAGTTCGAGGGCCTAATTGCACTTTGATATATAGTTTGAGGGTCTATTTGACCCTTATCCCTACATTATATACTATATACTATATATCTATGGACTAGGGCCCCTATCAAGAGATGGGCCCTGGGCAAGGGCCAGCTTGCCCTTGCCCAGGGCCGAGCCTGCTTTCAGAAGTCTTCTTCTTCTTCTTTTGTGTGTTTTTTTGAGTTTGGGTATTCAAAGAAAATAGAGTCAAAAGAAAATATTAATTCTGGTTAACGGAAAAAAAAAACTCAATAATTTGACGAAAAAATGTATTTCTAGATTTTTAGTTGAAAGACATTTTTTGAAATTTTTATTTTCTTATCTCTCTCATCTCTCTTCATGCTAGTTTCATGATAATATTACCACCACACCACAACACACCACCACCCCACCACAACACCACCACCACCACCACCACCACACCATATCACTACACCACCACCAACACCACTACCACACTACCACCGCCACCACACAACCACCATTACCACCAACACCGCAGCACACCACAACCACCACTTATTATTATTATTATTATTATTATTATTATTATTATTATTATTATAACAAATAATATATTAATTTGAGAGAGAGTTAGTTAGATTTCTCTCCGTCTTTTGCGTCTTCTCATCGCGTTTCTCTGATGGCGGCGGCGCCGGGGGCCGCTGCGCCCCCGCCTCCGCGCTCTTTCGCGGACGTCCTCTCCAACTCGTCAGATTCCCTTCCTCTTCGGCCACCAAGCAGATTCAAAGGCATGCCGGCAGTTTCGTTCTCGGATAAAGACGTTCGCCAGTTCTCCTTAAAATTCAAATTTGCCTTGGTGGGAAAATTTGCCAATCGGCGACAGCCTATGGCTGATCTTCGTAAAACCTTCGAGCAAATTGGATTCGGCGGAGCTTTCACTCTCGACCTAATTGATCAGCACCACATTCTCATCAATTTTGATCATGAAGCAGATTTCCAACGGTGCTGGCTTCGCAAATCCTGGTCCATTAGGGGTTCAATAAGGCGGATCTTCAAGTGGTCACCTGATTTCCGGCCGGAGATTGAATCTCCCGTGGTACCGGTTTGGATCGCCTTCGAAGGTCTCCCAGCTCATCTACAAGACAAGAGGGCCCTGTATTCAATCGCCAATCTTATCGGACCCCCGCTCAAGGTGGACTCTTCCACTCTGCTACATAATCGCCCATCAGTTGCTAGAGTTTGTGTTGAACTTGACGTTAGCACTCAATTGACGGATCAAGTATGGATCACAAATAGATCCTACGGGGGCTTCGCTCAGAGATTCGCCTATGAATACATCTCACCTTATTGCCTGGAATGCCGCAAGTTTGGCCATCTCACCTCCGATTGTCGAAGTGCCCGGGCAGAGCGCCAAGAGCCCCGATATGAGCCCCGTCAGATCCTTCAGACTGAGATTCCGATCCCTACACAACCGCTGATTGTCTCCCCAAGAAAACGTTGGCGCCCGATTGCTGCCCAACCGGCAAATCCTGTAGAACCTCAATGGCGATAACCAGAGCCCCAGTGTGCCACCAGTCGTGGACTCAGGTAGCTCGGCCTCAGTCGTGCCTGTTCCGATACCAGAAAACAACTCCCATATTGGAGTGGTTTTGATTGATGATCATGGAGTCCGTCCAGAGTCCCTCTCAGAATCCCAGCCCGGTCACCTTTCGGAAGGAGATGAGGTCCAGAGATCTCAAATCTTCTCCAAGTCTCTTCTGGAATCATGGAGGGAGGCCAGCAAGCTGTTTGCCTCTAAGCTTGGAGGTTCAAAGCCAGACAACTTTATTGCAGTTACTAAGAAAAAGAGTCGCCCAAGGAAGGATTATTCTGCCAATGTCCCCTCAGTCACCACTCGCCTTGCGGCGGGTAAGATCGCTAGAGTCACCTTTTCGCATCGGTTGAAATGAATTTGCTTAGTTGGAACGTCCGGGGCCTGCTCACCTCACGGTGCAGGCTTAAGCAGATTCTAAGACGTGAGCACGTTCACCATGCATCTATTTTGGAGCCCTTTGTCAGTTCTGATAAGCTAGATGGCTTTGTTCGAGAATTCAATTTTTCGGGGGGGCATGCCACGGAGGAGTCGAAGATATGGATTCTCTGGTCTGACTGTATGGAAGTTGATATTGTAATTGATAATTCTCAGTTTTTGTTCTGCACTGTCCGCTATGCTCCTTGGCAGTTCACTTTTGGTTTTGTGGCGGTATACGCGAAACACTCCAGGGCCGAACGAGCACAATTATGGGCGCAATTAGAGCCAATTCTCGACAGGTCTCTGCCTATCCTCTTAGGGGGAGATTTTAATGTTATTTCAAGTATTTCTGAGTACAGAGGAAACGCCACCCCGGAGTTAGGCAGTATCACGGATTTCTCTGCTTTTATTCATGATAACTCCTTAATTGATCTGGACACGATTGGAGCTCAATACACATGGCATGGAGCTCATAATTCTGGGTTGGTTTGGAAGAGATTGGACCGCTTCTTGATGAATTCTGCTTTGAGAGATTTCTTCACTGATTTGCGCATACAGGTCCTTGCGCGAACTTCGTCTGATCACTCCCCAATCCTTTTAAGTGGATCCAATGTGGCTTTTAGTTCCCCCAAGCAGTTCCGGTTTCAGACTATGTGGACCACCCATTCTGGTTTCATGGATGTTGTCAAAACGAGCTGGACATTGCCGGCCGATGGTGGTGGAATGCGAGCCCTAGCTTTCAAAATCAAACGCCTAAAGCTTACTCTCAGAACGTGGAATAAGGACACTTTTGGCAATGTCTTTGACCGCGTTCGGGAGTTAGAACTCAGAGCTTCGGAAACTGAACGGTCTTTTGATGATAGCCCGACGCCGGAAAACCGAGCTTTGCTGCATAAACAACACGCAGAACTTCTCCTGGCCCTAAAGCAATAGGAGATGTTTTGGAAGCAAAAGGCTCGAGTGAAATGGCTTAGAGATGGTGATGCTAACACTCACTTCTTTCATACTGTGGTAAAGGACAGGCACCAGAGGCAGCGAATCAGTGCAATTAGAGGTGAGTCGGGCTCTATCCTCACCTCTCAAGCGGGCATTCAAGAGGAAGTTGTCTCCTTTTATTCCCGTCTTTTCTCGGCTAAGGACGGCAATAATTTGGAGCCCTTTTTACATTACCTTCCGGAAGGTCTAAGCCCTCCTGACGTCGCTTTGTTGACGAAGTCAGTCACCCGGGAAGAAGTCAAGGAAGCAGTGTGGAAGCTAAACCCCGATAGCGCAGCTGGCCCTGATGGCTTCTCTGGAGCCTTCTTTAGGCACTGTTGGGACATAATTCATGATGATGTCTTTTTGGCAGCTTTGGATTTTTTTGCAGGAGTCCCGATCCCTCGAGCAATGGCTAGTGCTCAGATCGTGCTCATCCCCAAGAAAACCGACCCGGATTCCTTTGCAGATTTCAGACCAATCTCCATGTGCACCTTCATCAGTAAGGTCTTCACAAGGATTATGGCTACTCGGCTAAGTTCTGTTTTGCCAAGAGTAATTTCCAGGGAGCAGGTTGGTTTTGTGGAAGGCCGGAGCATTCAAGACAATGTCCTTCTGGCTTTTGAATTGCTGCAATACATTGACAAGCGGTGTCGGGGCTCAAATGTTGTTGTCAAGTTGGATATGATGAAGGCTTTTGATAGAGTATCGTGGTCGTTCCTTCGAGCGATTCTCAACAAAATTGGTTTCCCGGGAACTTTTACTGATCTCGTTATGAACAATCTTAAGCAACGAGATTTTCTGTTTTAGTAAATGGGGTTAGCTGTGGTTTTTTCCAGCTGTCAAGGGGTGTCAAGCAGGGAGACCCGCTATCACCGCTCCTCTTTATTTTGGTTTTAGAAGCTCTGTCACGGTCGCTCATCCTGGAAATGGGAACGGGCATGCTCTCCCCCTACTCTTCAGGCTTGCATTGCCCGATTGTTCCCCACCTGGCGTTCGCAGATGATATAGTCATCTTTGTCAACGGCTCTTCCGCTTCCTTAAGGGTCTTGACAAGGATCTTGACTCAATATACAGATTGCTCGGGACAAAGGGTCAACTATAACAAAAGTTTCTTTGTAATCTCCAGGCACTGCTCGGCCCAAAGTTCTGCTACAATGGCGCGAGTGTTGGGCATGCAGCGCTCATCGCTACCTTTTCGTTATCTGGGGGTGAATATGTTTCGCGGGAGAAACAGGATTCTGTACTATCAAAATCTGCTGGAAAAGGTGGATGCCATATTGCAAGGCTGGCAGCGCAAACTCCTCTCTCCTGGAAGTAGACTAATGCTCATCAAACATGTCCTTTCCATGATACCGATTTACACGATGGCCGCGGTTTCTTTACCGCGCCATATTGAGCAATCTCTGGAAGCCAGGTTTGCCCGCTTCTTTTGGGGTTAGGTGGAGGGAAAGGCGAAGCGGCACTGGACAAGCTGGAGCAAAATTTGTTTGCCCACGAACGAAGGTGGTTTGGGAGTTCGTTGCCTTTCATCCATCCAACAAGCTTTTTCGGCCAAGCTTTACTTTGGCTTCTTGAGGGGGACCTCTTTGTGGAGCGATTTTATGCAAGCTCGCTACCAGGATAGGCGATCTACGTCTTGCTCGCCCACCTGGAGGCGCATGCAGCAGGCAAGGGAGTTTCTTGAAGATAATATTATCTATGTTTTAGGTGATTTAGTTTGGCAGCTGTCCTCGTTTGGCAACTTCAGTATCTCCTCGGCTTATGAGGCCCTCCGGCCTAGGATGGGCACCACCTTATCATCGGAGTGCACTTGGGCGACCGGAATTCCCTCGAAAATTTCGGTTTTTATGTGGAAGTTATTGAGGAGGTTACTCCCGTTCCCGGACGTTATTGAGAGGTTTGGAATTTGCATGCCTTTGAGGTGCCCTCTCTGCCTTAATGCGTGTGCGACCCTGGAACATTGCCCTGTGCTTTGCAGCAAAGCTCGGATAGTTTGGATCCACTTTGTTGGCTTCTTCGGCTTATCTTTGTCTTCTTCAGCTTCTGTTCGAGCAACTTGTCACTCTTGGTGGCTGCTACCCTCTTCCACCTCCGCCGTGCGCTGCATTGTTTGTCTGTTGCCGTGCCTTATTCTCTGGTTTATTTGGATTGCTTACAACGAATGCTTACACGATGGCTCGACCTTCTCACCCTCAGGTCTGATCAAACGTATAAGTCGGGAGTCGCGGCTCATCTTTCTTGCTACCTCCATCCGTGGCAATGGCTCTTCAGACAGCTTCCTTCTAGCAGCGAGACTGATAGTCGGTTTTGATGTGCCGCCGAGAATGCAGTCCATTTGGGTCAAGTGGATTGTGCCGCCGTCAGGGAGATTGAAGCTCAACACAGATGCAAGTTTTTCCCTCGCTGGTGCGGCAGGTGGGGCGTGCTTGAGAGACTCTCGCGGTGGCCTTGTTGTTGGTTTGTGCTTTAATTTGTCCGCCTCTTCTGCACTGGAAGCGGAGGCGTGTGCTTTGAGGCTGGCTCTACAATGGTGCGAAGCCATGGTGTTGCTGCCAGCGTTGGTCGAAGTTGACTCGCAAGCTCTTGCTCATTTAGTGTCCTCTACTGCGGCAGCTGTTCCATGGAGGATGAGAGACGCAGTTTACTATGCTCGTGCTTGCATCTCTTCGTGGAACTCTTCGATTCGGCACGTATATAGGGAGGCCAATCAAGTTGCCGATGCTCTCGCGGCTGTTGGTCTCAATGCTCAATCATCAACAATTTATTATTCCATTAGCTCTTTACCTGTAAATGTCAAGGTGGCTCTTATGTACGATTCCTGGGGGTTTGCTACCCATCGGAATGTTCGCCGTCAATAAAATTTCTTTTTATTAAAAAAAAATTAAAAAAAATAATATATTAATTTTCAGGAAAATGAACCAAACAAAAAATAATAATTTCTAAACTTTCAATCAAACAAAAAATAATAATTTTTTTGACCTTCAGTCAAACACTAAAAAATTAATATATATTTTAAAAAATGAATCAATTTCTTTTTGAAGGACAAATGAATCAATTTCTAAAAACTCATTTTTTGAAAAATATTTTTCTAAGTTTGTAAATTGGCCCTTACTTCAAATCTAAATATATCTCCCCCTCCCCTTTTCAAAATAAATAAACAAATCTTGTTATAAATATTTTATTATAATGGTCATTAAACTTGAGACATTTCCTTAGCCTTTATTTATTACATTATTTATGTTAAAGAATTGAAAGGTCATATGAATGTGTATATATTTGAGTGAAGGCTTAATGAAAAGAGATATTATTGTTGTGCCCTACTTCTTGTGTTCTTTTTCTCCCTTTACTCTTTACATATACACGCATATACATACATACGAACCTCCGGGCAATTATCGTGCAATCATCACGCGAGAACTAACGAGTTGATAGACCGAATTACAACACGTTATCAGCACGAATCACCAACATACTCCTCGGTGAACGGTATGCCTGGATATTTTACAATACATGTTTTTATATTAGGCAAGCATGTTCATTGAATTCGTATAATACATGGTTTTATATTGCACATGTTCATATGATTCGTATATATGTTTGCAAATTCTTGAATATTGATTTCCGATTTTATTTTATTTTATTTTTTAATCGGAAAAAAGCATGTGATATATATGTTTGTATAAATAGAAGTTATTTTTCGTATATACAATGTATGTACACCATGTTGATAATATATGCTACACATAAGAACATTCATATCAAACTGCATAGATGTTATTGCTAAATTTACATAAATACTTTTGTTATATATATTGCTGCAATATGAGCATGGTATGCAAAAGTTTGCAATGCTTCAAAATGTTTTCATGTTTGAAAATGGAAAATTATGTTTTCCTTATGGATCTGAAAGGATATTTTGTTTTCTACCGAGAGGTTGAATACTGATGGACAATTTTAAATAATGTTTGTCCTCGCAAGTGCACGAGTCAGCTGTAATGATAGTGTGTAAAGGCAAGGGTCGATCCCACAGGGAATTGTACGATGCAATTTAATGACTTAAAAATGATTAACTCAACAATTTAAAGCACTAAAAATAAATGTCAAAGACAAAGATCAATTCAATTTAAAGTGTTCACAAAGCTACCTAACAGTCAAATTGGATTTAACTAAATGAATTGCAAGGCATGAAATAAAGACAGGAACAATAAATTAACCAACCAAAACAGCAACGAAATATATGCTAGGAACATGAATCATTACTTAGCAAAACATAAATAAAGCCTAATTCAAGTGGCAAAACTAAGTTCAAAACTAGTGCAAACTTTCATAGTAAATTATACTAAACCTTAGGCTCACAGGAATTAACAAATCATGGTATAATCAACACTAAATGACAAATAAAACTAGAGGCTCAAACTCTTCGAAATTAAACAATGAAATTGAAGTTTAAGGAGAGGTGATGGATTACAGTACGCCAAATAAATATAGAGATTCAACAGCCATGCAAATTAAGAAAAGAAACAAAGAAAGGACTCAAAGCTCACTGCCGTGGATGATCTTGCTGCGCCAAAAGAAGCTACCACCTGGAATTAATATCTGGCCGTCCAAAACTCGCCGCGCCAAACCCAGCCGTACAGATCGGAATTGCACCGGGGTGAATTCATGATGCCTTCTTTGATTTTCACTACTGGAAATTATAGAATTTCCGACCACCTGAAAGTGATCTTAAATCAAGTCAAAAGCCTTGTTCCGACCACTTTTGGTATCCGGAAAAACCTTCGTTGCTATTTCCGACCACTTTTTATTTTCAACTTGATTTAAAATCACTTTCAGGTGGTCGAAAATTCCATAATTTCCAGCAGTGTTTGCCGGCATTTATACTGCTTGAACTCCAATAATTTTTCCATGTTCTGCGCTCCTCCTAAGCTTTGCATCGTTTGCGATAGCCGAAGAAGGCTCTATGTCGTTTGCGATCTTCTTTCTCGTTCATTGGTTGTTGACTAACTTTGTTGAATGAGTTTCGACCAAAGTGTAAAAATAACTATTTTCTTTAATTAAATAAAACACATCTAAAAGCATAAGTAAATTAGAACCCAATAAAATCCTACCATTATTAAAACTCTATACTGACCAAGTATAACTATACTACTACTATTATTAGTTTTATTATAAAAATTATTACAAAAATATAATGTAAATAAAAGTTCAATAATTTAATAAAATAAGCTAAAAATATAACTAATTAATAAGAATTATTAAATCAAACATTATGAAATAAAATATAAAAATTGCACTTATCAAATACTCGAAAGGTCATTTTTATGGTCTCTTGTGTATTTTCGAAAGGTTAATTTGTTCTTTCAGACTTAATTACCTTTCAACTTCATCTCTGAAAGTTTGATTTGCATCTAGAAGATGTCAAATTTCTTATTTTTGCTATGAACATGTATGTGATATTATGAATGTATATGAGAACATATGATATATGTTTTGTAGATTACATTTTCCATTGCCAAATGTGAATTTATTGAGCTCACTTATGAATGAAGCAATTATTTAGCTTGGGCTCTTGATATTGAAATATATTCGGCATCTAAAGAATTGAGCCAGGTTTTTTGTTGCTAAGTCACAAAGCACCAATGCCTAGATGGCACAAGCTCTCATTTTCATACGTCCCACTTGAACCACGGCCTTAAAATTGAGTATCTGATTGAAATAAATAAATAAATAAATAAATAATAAAAATAAAAAAAACCTTGAATTAATGGAAGTCCTTAAAGGACTATTCCGACCAGAAGTCATCAAATGTTCTTCCTCAGACACATTTTGACTAGTTTAATCTCATGTTTAATTTTGAGATTATAATGTAAGCCAATGATTAACTATAATTCAGTTATGCACAAAATAGTCTCGCAAGTGAAACTCTAAACAAGAAGTTTCAGAGAAATATTTAATTGGGAAGACATTGCCAACTTTTCATGCGCGTAATTTGTACTCCAGCAGTAGTACAAGACAACAAATTATGAGAATCATCCTAAGATGATTTTAGCACTCCTTGTGGCTAAGAAACATAACTATTTGTTGATGAAGAATCAAAATGCATGTCTGGTTGGTTTTTGCGCGGGTGCCTGAAGCACATAACGATACCCAGTTGGGCAACTTTATAAGGGGTTGCGGTCAAAATTATAACCGGTGTGGTATGAGTTTCGAGCTCAGAATAAGAAACAAAGTGATCAAGATATTCAAGGACGACCAAACTCATCGATGCAAAATCCTAGCCAGAAGCAGGTTTGCTAACAATGTGGGTCTGAAGGGCATTGATCCCTACGTGCCGCACACCAAAGCATTTGAGCGTCGAAGAATGCGCCTCATCTTGATGATTCTAGGTAATTTGCCTGAAGGAAATACTGTGATAAATGATGATAATGAAATGATGAGGTATTGATAAAGAAATGATTGGTGTCATGATAATGTTTTGAACAATGCATGAAAATATATTCATGGCCGAAAAAAGTTAATTCATTCCTGAAGCATAGAGCATCCGAGTAGTTAGCTCATGCTTGAAGCATCCGAGAAGTTAGTTTATGCCTGAAGCACCCAAAAAGTTAATTCATGGCCGCAATATTTATTGCGTGGCTGAGAAGTATATATACTCCAAAAGTGTCTTTGAGCGCAAAGTTATTTTTGAATGTAAATTATTATGAATGCAAAGTGATTTTACTTTGCATATTTTACTTGCTAATTTTACTACTCGAACTAACTATTCAAAAAGTTTAATTCTCTAAGCTTACCTCTGTAATCTTACTTCTCGTTTTACTTCTTGAAATTTTACTTTCTGGAACTTTATTTTCCGAAAAAAGTTTACTTCTCGGAGTTACTTCTCTTAGTTTGCATGCTTATTTATATATGGAAATTTTTCTCATGCATGCAACATGACTCTCCTATACAATTGACTTGTTGCTAATTCAAAATTGAATTATTATTTGTTCCATAAATCCTATGTCAATCTCAGAAGGATTGCTATTATCAACAAATTATGATAATCCTCTTTTGACTAAATTTAAAATGTCAACATGACAAATCCCTTTCCGAATATGGCTTAGTGTCATTCTGTGTTATTTTATAAGAATGATCTTTGACTTATGTCATACATGATATGATTGATTTATATGTTATTAGTTTGAAAGATACAATCAAATGTTGTCATATCAGTTTGGCCGAAGCAAACAGGGGAATGAATTATTTCATATCAGTTTGCCCGAAGCAAATTAGGGAGTGAATTATCATGTGAATTTGCACAAAGTAATTCCCAAATCAGTGAGTGAACTAATGGAAAGTTGAGGATAAGGATTTTTGGGAGATCTTAAAGATCTATTTTATTTGACAAGCTTCCCAGCTTCCCTATTATTGTTGTGTACCCTTATAATATCATTTGATATGTATGCTTTCATATCTGATTATATATGTTAAAGTACTCTATATGTTACTCTTAGATGATTGCATATATGTTTTGGGTACTTCATATGTTGTGATACACTTTTAAAGGCTTAAAAGACCCAAATGATTTTATAGTATAACATGAGCTAGTGCGTCGCCTTGGGCAATTATATATTTTCTTGTTGGGGACATCAATTTTATATGCTATTGTGGTTATCACAATCTGACCTACTGCATATCATAATTATTCTCTCTAGAACCTAGTACGTGGTATAAAACCACACATTTCCCATCGGCGTTTTATTCATGGTGAGTCTTTTTCCTATATCACCACCATAGCGTACCTTTGTGGGCATGTATATGTTGATTATAAACCTCCGTCTATTATTTAAATCATTAGAGCCCATGATAAGGGATCAAT